CTAATATTGTTTGTCTTTCCAATCGATTCAAAGGCTGTCAAAGAGTCGAAGGATGTGTTGAACAAACTCGGGGTCAAAATTACGGAAATTAATACTCAAAACTCCTAAACAAAAGTGTATCCAAAGTTTTTTAACAAATGCAATATTTCCAAGTGTTAAAAAAAGTTAACAAAACTTTTTTAATTATTTTATTAATTATAAAAATATAGCTAAAAAGTGTACGCAATGTTACAATTTATTTTACATATGAGAAAATATTTATCACAAATTAATTTCTGTGTTTTTAAATAATTATTTTATACAATAATGTGAGAAAAAAGAAATAATAAATGATATATTTTAAATGTAAAAGTGCCAAAAAAGTACAATAAAATGATTGTTTAATTAATTAACATTTAAAACAAATTGCATTCAATTGTCTCACAAAAAAGTCATTGAACTTAAAGTTTTAACGTTAAAATTTCTTACATAATATGCATACGAAAAGGGCATAAAAATACACACAAAACAAACTAAACATTAATACCTTTTAGAAACGCGCGAACATTTCAATACTAAAAAGCAGTGCTCAAAGTGAACGTAATTAGTGAACGGCCCCTTCCCTGCACTTCCCTTTCCTACGGATTGTAATACATGTGTAAGTGTTTTGTAATTTAGTTTAATTTAATTTACATTTATTTCGCTATTAATTGCCATTAATTGGCATTTATTTTGACAACAATTTATTAATCATAAACTCTTGTCTCTGTTTTGACAGTAATTTAATCCCATATTAAAGACAACAACGAGTGAAATGTCGGACAATGAAGGGTAAGCCTAAACGCCTGAACACATGTGTATTGAATGCTTGAACTAATGGTTGGATGTGTTGTAGAGAGACTTCGGCCCCCATAATAGCGGCGGCGCCTATACTTGACGTGAATATGGCTCTGCAGGAAGTCTTGAAGACGTCATTGACTCACGACGGGCTCGCAAGAGGTCTGCACGAAGCCGCCAAAGCACTCGACAAGTATGCCATTCCTCCACAGTTACCATTCATTGTCTTATGAGTAGTGGTTTTTTTGTGCCACAAGTATCTGATGACTATCATTCAGGACTCCCTCTTCTGAATAAATCTTTGAGGAAACCCCTGATTCGTTACCCAATTATTGTCTGATTTATAGGCTTTTTATTTAATTTGAATTATTAATTAATGTTTGAAATGTTGTGATAACTAATGTGTTGTTGTGGTTGTGGTAGACGTCAGGCACATCTGTGTGTATTGGCGACGAACTGCGATGAGCCGATGTACCAGAAGTTGGTGGAAGCGCTGTGCGCTGAACA